GGCGTTCTGCCGTGTCCTATAGGGCCTCTATCAATCAGAACTCTGAGTTCTGAGTTATCCTATAGGACACGGCAGAACGCCTCTGTGAGTTCTGATTGATAGAGACCCTATAGGACACGGCAGAACTGCCTGTGAGTTCTGATTGATAGAGATCCTATAGGACACGGCAGAACTGCCTCTGTGAGTTCCGAGACTGTAACTCTTTACAGGAGTAGAAAGCCCTGTCTTTCACCAGAGGAGCGGCTGGTGGTTTCGAACTGCCAACACTGCAGTTAGCAGCCCAACTTCTAACCACTATGACACTGGGGCTCCTCTGGAACTCCTCTGGAATCTACCACTGATCTGGAACTCAAGCGCCAGGACGGCGAAAAGGCCATGAAAGGGGCACTGGGTCCTTCTCCTGAAACAGCACAGCCTGCGATCATCTCAGAACCCACTTGGAGAGCCAAGGGAGGCTGGCTCCTGACTCACCGGTCCAGCCACGCTAGCAAGGCCTTTGCAGCACCGATGAGCTCCACCACGGAGGTCAGGAACTCATTGGCAGGCTTGCTCGAGGTGTTCCCATTGTAAGTGGGGCTTTTCCGCCGGCTACTTATGTAATTCTGTAGGTTTCGGGAAGACGCTTGCAGTTTCAGAACCAAGTTCTTCATATTATCTGTCTCAAGGCCATAATTCTGCAGAAAATAAAAGAAAGGACATTTTGGGACAATTGGCAATATCCCAAACTCTCCTCCCTCAAAGACTCAGTCAACTCCTACAATGGCCATCAAGCCTCACCTGCGCTGGCCCACCATACTGATCTCCCCTGGCAGATCCTGAAACAGGCTAGCTACGATTCTTTATATTTTAATAGTTTTACTGGCGTACAATTCACATATCATACAATTCAATGGTTTAAACATATTAAAGAGTGCAAACATCACCACAATCAATTTGTGAATATGTTCTCCGTCTTATACTCATCATTATTAGATCATCATTACCCCAAAACCTTCCTTGCCATAACCCTCAGAAGCTACTTCTCCAGTTACTGTCTCTGTAGACACACCTATCCTGGATTACATATAAAGAAAAACATACCAAAAGAAAGATTCCAAGAACAGTAACAGGAAAAAGAAAAACCTCAATCAAGAAAAAGCCAAAAATATTTTTTAACCTGTAACACGTTTCAAATGTGTCAAAAGGGAAAATAAGGTGTTAAGGTGTTAACAACATCTGCGTTCATCCACTTAACAATGCACTGTCTGACAGCAAGGCTATTAACAGCCCTGGGCAATGGTCAGAAGGAATTCACCAGAGGCTTAAACCATGTGAGGACCCTACAAATGGACTTTAGGCTTTCATTGTCATCCATAGCCTCCTGCAAACCCGGTACTTAGAATGTAAGCTCTAATACAGTTCCCTCCACCTGTCTTGGATTTGATTATTTACAATCCTTGGATCACACAGGCTGGTGTGATTCCTCCGAGCAGAATTAGATGACACCCCACTTAGATGGTTGTTTATTTTAAGGCAAGTCTAAGGCCCCAGATGCTGTTCTTTCTGATAGCCAGGCACCATCTGCTTTCTTCATCACATTTTGCTAGAGAATCCATATTTTCAGTGATCTCTTCATGAGTGCTATGTCATAAGAACTAATTTTTCTTGGATGAGGGCTACAATTAGGGCTATGAATGTTGGCATGAACCAACTCTTCCTCATCCTTCATATCTGGCCAGACCACTGAATCAAGCGCAATTCTTGTGAGTCAGCTTCGGTATGACTCACAACTAGGAGCAGACCATTCTTTGCTGGGGGCGGTAGGGGGTACCATGATGGAGCAGAAAGGCCCCCAAGAGGGTTCTCTAAACTGGAAGGAGCCTAGGTAGTGCCATGGTAAAATGCTCACTGGCTAGCTGAAAAGTTGGCAGTTCAAATCCACCAGTAGCTCCCTAGGAGAAAAGACACCATGCTCCTATAAAGATTATCGCCTAGAAACCTACACGGGGCGGTTCTACTCTGTTACACAGGGATGCTATGAGTCGGAATCTACTCAGCAATGTCCAACGCCGACCACCTTGGTGGGCGATGGCCAGGTCTTCCTCCACAGTGCCACTGTGCGGGTTCAAACCCCCAACCTTTGGGTTAGGAGCAGAGCACTCAGCCATGTGCCACTGTAGCTCCCTGTCCTAGCCTCTAGCGCGTAGCAGAGAAACACTGCACTAACTGTCCGAAGATCCCTAAGGACCGGGTGGGAGAGCCAGGACTCCACTCAGGGCGGTCTGCTCTACAGCGCGTGCTCCAGTTGTGATGCTCTGTACTGAGCCTCTCTCGGCCCCTTCCTCAGGAAAGCTGCAGCTGCGTCCACGTGGCCCTCGAGTCAAGAAGAGAAAACCTGGTGAGTGAGCCTGGAGCAAGCACAAGCTAACAAGGTCACAGAAACATTCTGCCAGCTGTTTACGGCCCCAAATTCCACCGTGGCCCCATCGCATTGTCTACTGCGACAGCAGCTGGCTTCCTTCTCCCCCCTGAGAGGCTCCTTCTTCTCCCAGCACCACCTGCCTCTTCCTCCTGCTGCATCCAACCATCTCCTCCGGCTCTGACTGCCTCTCCTTAGAGCCCCTGCCGTCAATGCTCCAAGACCAAAAGAAGCCAAACCCACCGCCATCGGGTCCACGTGGGCAACTCAGGGTGGCCTGAGAAGCCCGAGAGGGCCTGTGCCACAGGGTTTCCCAGAAGGCTGTGTGCGCTTCCTGCAGTGGCCTGCTGCTTTCAGAACGTGAAAACTTTCAGCGACAATTCCCTCACAACTGGACCACCTCGTCCTCCTTTCGTCTGGATGCTCTGCTGTGATCAGTCCACCGGGGCTGACCGTGCTGGTGTTGGAAACACTGGGGACAGAGCTTCCAGCAGCCCAGCAACAGGAAAGCAACCACAAGGTGACAAAAGAACAGGAGCTCACCGCCATGCTTTGTCTCCCTCAGAGCAGCTGCGGGAAGCAGGGGACGGCCTTCCCATGAGCTTAGCCGCTGCACCACCAAGCCTCTTTGCCAACTCCCCCAGAACATTCCCCCAAACCAAATCCACGGCCGTCATCGGGTCCATTCTGGAAACCATGCTGCAAAATCAAGATGAGGGTGCCCAACCCGGGGCGACTCAAGCCCGCCTTCCGCGGGCTAGGTTCACGCGCTATCTGTTTAGGGCATGCACAGCCCAGTACTGCCTTTAGGAATGAGCAGTAGTCGACGTTTTAGCCTATCTCCGGCCCCTCTTCGTTTGTGGAACAAGTGTCCCTTCACCTAAGTTGTTAAATGTGTACAAATCAACAATCCATGCGTTTTAGGACAAAAAATTGTCCTCTGCGTTTTTACTTTCTTTTCCTCAATAGTTATTTTAAATTCTATACAAAATATTCACTGCCAGTAGAGTCGATGTTGACTCAAAGTGACCCCTATGGTTTCCAAGACTGTAACTTTTCACAGGAGTAGAGAGCCCAGTCTTTCTCCCAGGAGCTGCTGATGGTTTTGTATCACCGATCATGCAGATCGCAGCCCAAATTGTAACCATGCCTAGGTACCATTGGCTAAATTAATAGAACTACCATATGTCCCGAGGAGCCCAGGTGGTGTAGTGGGCTACGCACTGGGCTTCTTACCACAAGACCAGCAATTCAAAACCACCAGGCGCTCAAGGGAGAAAGATGAGGCTCCCCACTCCCATACAGTCTTGGAAACCCACGGGGGCAGTTCTACCCTTTCCTATAGGGTCGCTATGAGTTTGGATGGCCTCGATAGTATTGAGTTTCTCTATGCCCCAATGTGAATAATTTATAATGTCCTCCAACAAAATAGCAATGATGTCTTTAAAGTGAACCAGGGACATGGATACACCATAGATATGTGAATAGACTTGAGCTCGCACGTAATTACAGCCCTCATCTAAGAACAATTAAGTTTGTGTGGCTGGCCTTGCTCAATGCCTGCTCCCATGAAGTAATCACTGAAGACACGGTTGCTGGGGCAAAGTGTAGGAAGTTATCAGATGGTGCCTGGCTATCAGAAAGAATAGCGTCTGGGGCCGTCAAGGCTTGTCTGAAACAAGGAGTCTAAATGAGGTGTCAGCTGAAGTACACGCACGTCAGTCTGAGTGATCCAAGAACGGTACATAATGACATCCAAAGCTGGAGGAAGGAACGATATAAAAGCTTGCAGAAGGGTGCACATGACAGCGAAAGCCCACAACTCATCTGCAGGGGCCACCATGTAAATTAAGCCTCTGGTGAATCCCGTCTGACTGTGAGCTGGAGATAGGAAAGCCTGGTTATCAGACAGTCCATGGTAGAGTGGATCACTGCAGTGCTGCTTAGGTCAATGCTTGTCATTGATCCCCTCTTGATCCAATGTATAATGGCTTCTGCTTTTAACAGTTTCTGCTACATTTTTGGTTGAGGCTTTCCTTTGTTTTAGTGCAGTGGTTCTCAACCTTCCCAATGCCGCGACCCTCATGTGGTGGTGATCCCCCAACCATAAAATTATTTTTGTTGCTACTTCATAACTGTAATTTTGCTACTGTTATGAATCGGGTGACCCCTGTGAAACGGTCGTTCGACCCCCAAAGGGCTTGCAACACACAGGTTGAGAACTGCTGTTTTGGTGTGTCATTGTTTGGGGGCTGTTTGTACTTGGTCTTGATTTTGTATGATTTTATATCTAGGAAACCAGGATTAGATAAACCCATAGAGATAAGAATTAGATGACCAGAATCAAATGAGCACGGCAGGTGAGGGTGGTGGGAAATGTGGTCCCTCACGTAGATTAAGTGGGTGTACAACTCATAGGAATGTGATTGAGCTACTGAAATGTATGATATGTGAACGCTATGTCAATGAAGCTGTTAGAAATGAACAAACTAAAAGAAAAAAATCTACAAAAGCACAAATACATGTGAAAAAAGGCATTTCTTTTTTTAAAGTGCGCAAAAAAATGTGTGTGTGT